ACTAAAGCTGTGTACAATCTCAGTCTCTTCACCATCCATCCTAATGCTGCCAGTTGGTCCAGTGGTGAGAATCTTTGTCTTCTTGACATTGAGCCTCAATCCATATTGAAGGCTGCTGCCCTTGACCCTCTGCAGCAAGCGCTTCAGGTCCTCCTCAGTTTCAGCAAACAGGGTTATGTCATCTGCATAATGCAGATTGCTGATAGATTTTCCACCAATCCTGATGCCACACTTCTCATAGAGCCCAACCTCCCGGATGATCTGTTCTGCATACAGGTTGAAAAGGAACGGAGACAGGACACATCCCTTCCCAATTTTGAACCATGCAGTGTTTCCTTGCTCTGTTCTGCCTCTTGGTCCAAGTAATGGATTTACAGATCTTTTTTCCCACTGACCTGCTAGTGGGGTTCAAATTACTTGTCTTTCTGTTAGCATCCAAGTGCAAAACTGCTAAGACTCTTTAGGTATTATGTAGTTGATAATATTTCCATGTAACCTCAGTGTTAAATTCTTTTTATTACTCTCAACAAGATAGATGGATGCAATGGCTGTAACAATGGGCTTGAGCATAAAGAGATGATGAGGATAGGACAAGGTTCAGATTTGTTGTTCATAGGGTCACTGTGAGTTGTAGTTGACTCGGCAGCATTTGACAAAAACCACATATACAAAACCAAAACTATATAACCTTATATTTATAATTGTATCATTGTAAAACCCATACGAATGAAAATAAAAATAACTACAGAAGCTCTTGTTCATTCCAACTCATAGCAACCCTACATGATAGAGTAGAGCTCCTTAAGATCTTTACAGAAGTTAGTTCCCAGGACTTTCTCCCTCGGTGTGGGTTCCAGTGTTGATGTTTTTGTTAACAACCAAATGCTTTGAACATTATACCACAGCTCCTTTAAAAAAGCAGTACAGTTCAAATAAAATAAATAATGTGATAGATGATAATAATGTTTCATTGACGAAAACATTACTTGTTATAATTTTGCACATATTAGAACACTTGAGTGATTATCATGGTCACTTTTTCCTTTTTAAAAGAAAACTTGTTTTTAATCACAGAATAATTATTTTTACGTAAGGAGTTACACTGCCAACCTAAAGGCACGAGGTTCAAATCCACCGGCTGCTGCTCTTAAAAAAGAAAAGATGAACACTCTCCTCTTAGGCAATGTACTATCCCTGAACACTTGCTGAAGGGTTAGGCTGTGTGTCAAATAGCTTTTCTAAGGTTTACTATTACCTTTAGGCTCAAATCCAAACTCCTGAAGGGTGTGGTTTAAATTCCTACTTAATTTTTACCTTGATTTAGCACTTCTGAGATACTGTACTTTTTTTACAAGTTCTTTCATAACTACAGTCTATTGCATGTGTTCTCTTTGTCTAAAAGTCTTGACATTCATTTTCCTGGTGCTCTTATTTTTTCTTCAGATTTCAGCCTTTTGTCTGCAAATCATCCTTGACACCTTTCTGCTTTCTCTAACCCAGTTGCTGTTTCCTCCGTGCTGTTACAGTGCACCAAGATTTTTTATCACACACACTGAATTATCATTCCTAATTATTTTTCTTTCTGTTCTGTAAGCCATTTGAGGACAAAGATGCAGTGGATATTACTTGCCTTTGGGTCCCTAGAAGATCCTTAGTATCTTCTTAGTCTTTCAATCAGGGAAAGAATGGAATGTTCTCAGTTAACCTTTGGAATAAAATTAGTAATTAGCCAAAATACAGGATTCACTTCCCCTCTCCCCTTCACAATTATGAGATTTATTAGAGAAGTAACAGGCTCCAATTCAGGTCAGAAACACACAAGATAGAATTCTTCAGCCAGGATAGCTTCTTCTCAGGCATGTTCCTAGGTAGGAACCCTGCCTTGTGACTCTGGGCTAGTGTTACAAAGCTCTTTCAGTTTTGTCAATTAGGTGCCTCCCATTTCTCTTTCATCCAGTAAGTTTAGGCTGAGATACTGAGCTCTAGCTTTATTGAGCTGCAACTCTGGTTCAGCCTTTCTCACACTGGTCTCTGAATATCTCTCCATACTCTGGCCCAAAGGACTCACTGCACTCATCCTACATGTTTATTCTTGTTTGTTCTTTCCGCGCCCTACAGTAAACCTTGTTAGGATATTTTTGTGAGTGCTTTGAATCCATACACAGAGGAGTAGTGAGAATGATTATTTCAAAATGGCAACTTTAAGGGCAGAGTGGAAGCCCACATTTGACGCCAGCATATCAGGAGTAAAGGTATCATGTAGATTCTCAGACTTGCCACTGGCATCTGGCAGTCTGAAGAGTGGTGTCCTTTTAATGTGAGATCTGATAGAGTCTTTTTATCTAGGATTGGAGAAAGAAGTGCTGCATAAGTAGCTGATGTCAGAACTGAACAGAAAATTAGGAGAATAGGGTTTGGACTAGTGGGGTTCTGAGATTTCTACATCCACATTTTGTAATAGCAATGTGATCCAGTTTAGAATTACAGTTAGCATTTATTTCATGTTTCTTTAATTTTCTTCACTCTAAAGCCATTTCTCAGTCTTTCCTTAACTCATGCCCTAGGCACTTTAAAAAAATGATAAACTGATTATTTTGTAGAACATACTCTAGTTTGAATTTGTCGAGTATTTCCTTCCAATTAGATTCGAGTTATTCATCTGTTTCTGTACTGTCAGAGAAGAGATGAAGCATCCTTTTCATTTTATCAAGTGACACGTGATTTCTATTTGTTCCATTATTGATGATGTTCACTTTGCTTACTTGATTCAAGTGGTATCTGCCAGGCCCTTCCACTGTAAAGCAGTTCCTTTTCCTTTTGTATCTAGTAAATATTGGTGTATGTGTACTTTGAGACTATCTCACTCCTGGTTAGATTGCCAATTTAGTCGCTTATTGATAACTATGTGAATTCTTTTTCAGTGAGTTATAATCCATTAAAGGTCTCTGAGTGGCACAAATGATTTGTACTCAACTACCAGCCAGTGGTGAAAATTTTTGTCTTCTTGATATTTAGATGTAATTTGTATTGAAGGATATAATCTTTGATCTTCTGCAGCAAGTATTTCAAGTCCTCCTCACTTTCAGTAAGCAAGATTGTATCATCTGCATAATGCAGGTTGTTGATGAGTCTTCCTTCGATCCTGATGCCACATTCCTCTTCATGTAGTTCAGTTTCTCAAATGATTTGCTCACCATACACATTGTCTAGGTACAGAGGAAGGATACAGACTGATGCACACTCTCCCTGATTTAAATCATGCAGTATTCCCTTACTGCAACAGCTTCTTGATAGATTTTGTATGAGCATCATTAAGTGTTCTGGGATTCCCATTCTTCTCAGTGTTAGCTGTAATTTGTTATGATCCACGTAGTAAAATGCCTTTCATAGTTAATAAAACACAAATAGACATTCTCCTGGTATTCGCTTTTCAACCAGGATCCATCTGACACCAGTAATATTCTTGGTGCCAAAAAACAGCCTTTTCTAAACACAACTTAACCTCTGGCAGTTTTCTCTTAATAATGACTTTTCTAGTCATTTTTAAATGATCTTCAGCAAAATTATGCTTGCAGATGATATTAATGATATAGTTTGATAATTTCCACATTCTGTTGGATCACCATTTTTTAGCAATGGGATTCAGTGTGAGTCTCTTCCAGTCAGTCGTCCCTGACTAAATGAAAGTTTAACTGGTCTGTTTGTTAAGTCCTAATAAGGAACTCTGGTGACCTGTTTCATAGAGAATTGCACTGCTTAATCAAAGACTGAGTTCTCTAAGTGTTTGAATCCACCAACAGGTCCAGGGGTGGGGGTAGGGATGGGCAGTTTCCTGCTACATGATTTACAGCCTTGGAAACCTATTGGGGATGTCTGCTATGAGTTAATTCTGACGCCATGGCAAAGAGGTGATTTGCTAACATAAAGTTTGGTAATTCCAACCCAACTAGCATTTCTGTGGAAGAAAAACCTGGTGATATGCTCTTGTAAAGATTACAGCCAAGAAAAAGGCTTATGGAAGGAACTTTTCAGTTCTGTAGCACTTGGATTTGCCATGAGTTGGAATAGATATCAGTGGCAACAAGTTTATAATCCATTATTATCATTATTTATTTTTATGATTATTTCACATTTGGTGTTTTAGGCTATATTTTATTTTTTTATTGTGATTTTAATGAAAGTTCTTAGAGAAATTGGGTTTCCATTTATTCATTGTTGCACATTTTCCTCTCTACCTCCCAGGCTGTTTTTTGTTTCCTTATGTCACATCTCATTCTTTTTGAGCATATCTTTGGTTTATGGGACAAGATATGTTATTTTCGCAACCCTGGAATCTGCTGTCAGCTGACAACAACAACAATGACTAATGAGGAAGCTCTGGTGGCTAGTGGTAAAAAGTCCTCGTACACTGCGAGCAGTTTGAAATCACTAGCTTTGCAAGACAAAGATGGAGAATCTCCTCCCATGACATGTACTGCCTCTGAAAATCCACTAGAGAGTCAGCTATGAGTTAGCTGGCATATAACAACAATGACTAATGACTCATAGTAACCTTTCATTGAGTTTCGAAGGAGACCGCTCATCATTTTCCCTAGGAATGACTGGTGAATTCAAACCATTTCTCTTGAAGATAGCAGCTGAGTATGTAATGGACTTTGTGCATAAAGCTCAAGCACAGCAACAGTTGTAAAGATGGCAGGGTTTTGTTCAGTTATATATTTGTTAGAAGTATGCATTAGTGTATGTATTAGTCAGAACTTACTCTGTAAGTTCTGTAGACCCTAGCAACAACAGTGACATTGTGCACTTTTCTTGTGCTTGTTAACCATTTGTATAGCTTCTTTGGAAATGTTTTTTAATGTGTATTCAAATATTTTGTCCATTTTTTGAGTGAATTGTCTTATATTGTTGAGTTGGAAGAGAATCGTGTATTTTACTATATTTTTAAACTTGCTATGTTTGTTTGTAAGACTAATTTTTTTTCCCCTTTGTTTTGAAAGGTCCTGTTCCAAATACATTGATGTCTTCACAAATGTCAAGGAGCCAAGGATATAGTTCTCACCTTCCAGGATCCTATCCTCATCTAATACCAGCAAAGACTCCTTTAAATCCAGTCTTGGGACAGTCTAACTATGGTGGTTCTCAGACTGTTTCTCCATTAAGTAATTATCAGGGACCTGGGGAGACTCTTAATAGACCACCCATGGCTTCAAGTATGGTGACATCTTCATTACATAGTGGTCCTGCTTCCCGAATGCCACCTCCTGCTTCTCAGAGCCCAGCTGCTACACCAATGCCTTCTGGTAGTTTTCTTCCTGGAGTCAACTTACCACCACCACCACCACCACCTTCGAATTGGCAAAATAACTATCCATCCACTGGATCACAGATAAACCACAGTCCTCTTGTAACGTCCCAGTCAACTGTATCAGGGAATACAAATTTAACAAATCATCAATATATTTTTTCTGGAGATCCTTCACTTCAAACCAGCTACATAAAATCAGGTAATGTTACTATGATGTGTGCCGTTGTGCTGATTCTGACTCAAAGACTCTGTAGGACAAGTAGAAACATTGCTTAGAGTTTCCTAGGCTGTGATCTTTACAGAAACAGGTTACCAGGTCTTATCTTCCGAGGAACCAGTGGTAAGTTTGAACTGATGACCTTGCATTTTCCAGCTGAGTGCTTTTATAGGAGTATGGAGTAATGCAGAAAAGTTAAACTTTTGCTTGTTTAGATGATTTGAGTTTGTTTTTCAAATCTTACTTAGATCTATATGGAAAAAATACTCTTTAAATATTTTTATTTGAGTGAAAGTTTGTAAATCCTACTGGTTTTCAGTCTTACACATTTTGTTTAAGAACACTAATTACAATTGTTTAATGTAATTAATTACATTGATCAGCCCCTTATTGTATATTGCCTTTCCTTTCTCTCAACTTACTTATTCCTTTTTATTCTTTCTCTCTTCTCGTCCCTGTCAATCATCCAAGAATGAGTCTATCTATAAGGAAACACATGTTGTTGTTGTTAGGTCCTGTGAACTATGACTCAGCGAGTCTTTGAGTAACAGATCAGAACCTTGCCCTGTCCTGCACCATCCTCACGATCTCTGTCATGCTGACATCCATTATGGTCATCACTGAGTCAGTCCATCTCATTGAGGGTCTCTTCTCTTTGAATTTTTCCAGCATGGTGTCGTTTCTTAAGGATTGAACCCTTCATGACAACATGATCAAGGTGCATGAATTGAAGTTTCAACATCCTTGCTTCTAAGGAGCATTTTTATTGGACTTCCTCCTCCAAAACAGATTTCATTTTTCTTTTGATAGTCCCTGGGATAGTCAGAACTCTTCTCCAATACCACAATTCAAAGCATCCATTCTAATTTGGTCGTCTTTGTTCATTGTCCATCTTTCAGATGCTTGGAAGCAAATGAAAATACCACACATGACTTGCATCAGATATACCTTAATATTTAAACTGATATCCTTGCTTTTTAGCACTTTGGAAAGGTTCTTTATAGCAGATTTTCCCAATGCAGTATGTCTCTTGATTTTGTGACTGCATCTGCCATGGGTGCTGATCATAAATGTAAAGTAAAATGAAATTACTGACAACTTCAGTCTTTTCTCCATCTGTCATGATGATCCCTTTTGGTCCAGTGTTGAGGATTTTTGTTTTCTTGATGTTGATATGTAACCCATAGTGAATGCTATAGTCTTTGATCTTCTGCAGTAAGTGCCTAAGTCTTCTGCACTTTCTGCAAGTGAATTTGTATCATTTGCATGATGCAGATTGTTGACATAATGCAGATTGCTGATGAGTCTTCCTCCGAACCTCATGCCACATTCTTATTCATGGAGTCTATCTTCTCTAATGATTTGCTTAGCCTTTTTTATGATGATATGTGTGTTGTTGTGATGCTGGAAGCTATGCCGCTGGTGTTTCATATACTAAAAGGGCCACTCATAGTCTTATAGTGGACAGGTTTCAGCAGAGTTTCCAGACTAAGAAGCAGGGCTGGACATGATTTGAATGTTTCCATAGCTTTTTATTGTACTGATCTTGTACTGTAATTGTCCTTTCACCACCACCCCCTTTTTTCTTTGGCTGGAAGATTTTTTCATTTTATATCAAATCAACCACTGGATCTCAGGATTTTATTTCAAATCAACCACTGGACTTGGCAGCCTCAGGATGGATGGTGAAGAGATTGAGATTGTTCACAGCTTTAATTGCTTGGCTCCACAATCAACATTCTTGGCACCAGCAGCCAGGAAATTAAAAGACGTATTGCCATGGGAAAGTCTGCTGTTAGAGACCTCTCTAAAGTACTCAAGAGCAACGGCGTGTCTCTGGAGACAAAGGTGTGTCTGGTACAGGCTATGGTCTTTGCAATCACTTGTTATGCATCAGAGAGCTGGACAATGACCAAGGAGGATAGAAGGAGAATTGATGCTTTTGAGCTTTGGTGTTGGAGAAGAGTGCTGAAGGTGCCATGGACTGTTAAGAGAACAAACAGATTCATCCTGGAGAGGGTTAAACCGGGTGGCTCCTTGGAGGCAAGGATTCTGAGGCTTCGTCTGACATACTTTGGTCATGTTGTAAGGAGGGACCGGTCCTTGGAGAAGGACATCATGCTTGGGAGGGTGGAGGGCATGTGCAGGAGTGGAAGGCCCTCTGGGAGATGGATTGATTTGGTGACTGGGGCAATTGGGATGAGTGTGTCGGAGGCAGTGAGATTGGCACAGGACAGAGCAGAGTTTAGAGCTGTTGTACATGGGGTTGCTATGAGTCGCAAGCGACTCGACTGCACATGACAGCAACAACAACAACATATCACATCAAGTTGTATAGGTGTAAGGTCCAGGAGTCCAGCCTAGCCAGGTCCCCCACCTGTCTCCTCACCAAGCTCATCTAGTAGCTCCTTCAGTAAACCTTTTTTTGATCCCCAGGCCCCCACCCCTCCAGCCTTTGGTACATCCGGTCGCTCTCCTTCTCCATATACCTTCCAGTTACCTGAGGTATGTGGATAGGTCCCTCCTCCCTTACTGGTACAAGCTGGCTCCCCAAGAATGCCCAGGACATGGGATGGGACCTGGCTCTGTCCGTCCCCTGACTATAATCGTTCTTTTATGACTGATTTATGTCACTTAGCATAATTTCCTTTAGACTTACCCATGTTGTGTAGTTTTTCATGAATTCTCTTATTGTTTTTTAGTGATGCATAATACCTCATAATTTCTTTAGCCATACATCATTGAAGGACACTTGGGTTGTTTCCAAGTCTTTGCCATTGTAAATACTGATGCAGTAAACGTGGATGTACGTATATCAGTTTGTGTCAAAGCTCTTATTTCTTTGATTGCCTATTAGTGGGATTGAAGAATCAAACATACTGCTATTTCCAACTTACTAAGAAAGACCTAAATTGCTTTCCATAGTATTTGCACCAAATTACATTCTTGTTAGCAATGTGTGAGAGTTCTAATCTCTTCACACCCTTGAAAGCATTTGTTGTTTGCTGTCTTACAGAACTTTGGTATTGTTGCTGGTGTAAGATGATAATGCATTGTTATTTTTTTAAATTATTTTGTGTGTGTGTGTGTGTGTGTGTGTACCATCAAATCAGGTCTGACTGATACAGGAGGAGATTGTCCCTCCTTCTCCAGCAGAACATCTGGTGGATTCAAACCACTAGCCTCTGGGATTGCAGTGCAACTTCTTGCCACTAGGCCACCAGAGCTCGTCTGTATTGTTATTTTCATCTCTCTAAAATTCATCTCACATACTTTGGGCATGTTGTCAGGAGGCACAAGTCTTTGGAGAAAGACATCATGCTGGGAAAGGTAGAGGGTTAGAGAAAGAGAGAAAGACCCCCCTACACAGTGACTGTAACATTGGGAATGGAGATTGTGAAGGTGGTGCAGAATAGGACAAGATTCAGAACTTGTTCATAGCCTCACTCCTTATGAGTTATAACTGACTCGGTAGCATCTAACCAACAGAAACAGTAGCTTGAGCATTTCTTCATAAGTTTGTTGGCCATCTGAATATTCTCATTGATGAAGTGTCTTTTCATGTCCTCTGCTCATTTTATAATTAGAATATTTGGAATTTTTCATTGAAGTATTAGAGTTTTCTATAAATTTTACAATGAGTCCTTTGTAAGAGAATTTCATTGCCAGCACCACTGTTAATACAGATTGTCATTTCCCCCACTTAATGGATTTTACCTCCTTCACAAAGATCAGCTGACCATCACTGATTTGTATCACTGATTTGTGTATCTGTCACTGTATCAGTACCAAGTTCTTTTGACAGTCATGGCTCTGTAGGTTTTGAGATTAGGCAGTGTAAAGCCTCCTACTTTGCTTTTCTTCCTCAGTTGTTATCGTTATTAAGTGCTGTTAAGTTGAATATGACTTTCAGTGACCCTATGAACAACAGATCTGAACCCTGGCCTTTCCTGTGCCATCCTCACAATCTGACACACTTGAACCCATTGATGCAGTCCCTGTGTCAGTCTGTCTCATTGGATGTCTTCTTCTCCTTTACTGTCCCTCCACCTTTCCAAGCATTATGTCCATCTCCAAGGAATAATTTCTCCTGGCAACATGCCCAGAGAATGTGAGATGAAGCTTTATCATCTTTGCCTCTAAGAAGTTATTCTGGCTGCACCTTCTTCAAGACATAGCAGCTTGTTCTATTAGCAGTCCATAGTACATACAGTGCTCTTCTTCAACACCACAGTTCAAAGACATCAATTCTTCTTTTGTCTACCTTTTTTCACCGTCCAGCTCTCAGATGCAAAGCAAGTGACTGAAAAGACCATAGCCTGAATTAGGTGCATCTCAGTTCTCAAATTGACATCATTGTTCCTCAGTAATTTTGAGGTCCCTGAATACAGACTTCCTCAATGCAATATGTCTCCTGATCTTCTGACTGCTGGTACCAAGTGTATTGATTGTGGATCTAAGTAAGATGAAGTTGTTGATATTTTCATCTCCATCTATCTTTATGTTGACTATTCATCCTGTGGTGAGGAATTTTGTTTTCTTGCCATTGAGATGCAAACCTCTATTGAAGGTTTCAGTGTTGAACCTCCTGCAGCAAGTTCTCTTCACTTTCAGCAAGAAAGATTATATCATATGCATAACAATGTTATTAGTGAATCTTCCTCGGATCCTGATGCCACATTCTTTTACATACAGCCTATCTTCTCAAATTATTTGCTAAGCATGCAGATAAATAGATATGGAAGAAGGGTACAACCAAGACACACACTTTTCCTAATTTTAAACCATGTAGTGAGTGTTCTCTTAATCTGTTTAAAGAATAGTATTTTGGTCTAGGTATTGGTTTTGGATGAGCACAAATAAATCTTCTGATATTTCCATTCTTCTCAATGTTAGCCTGCCATAATTTGTTATGATCTGCATAGTCAAATGCCTTTTCATAGTCTGTAAAGCACAAATAAACATCCTTCTGGTATTCTTTG